GATCCCTTTGGGCCGCCTTGTTCTGTCCCTGCTCCCTCTTCGGCTGCTCCGGGGAAGCTGAGAACGTCCTTGACTTAATATAAACATCGCTTAGCAACAACTAAAACAATATGCCTTATCTGCGGGAGTTTCTTTTTTTTCCCTCCTGCTAAACCCAAAACACAGCAGCTACTCGGAAGAAAATTAACTCTATTCCACCCAAAACCAGGACAAGGAGACACGGGAACATGCTGGTTCCCCCCCTCAGTGCAGCCTGCCCCCCTCAGTGCAGCCTGCCCCCCTCCCCCGCAACTGCCCCCACCACTGCACTGCCCCCCAAATCCCACGGGAGCCTGGACCGGGACGATCCCAGAAGCGGGGAGACCCCCGGGACCCCAGAGAGGGAGGAGCCCGGAGAGGGGGCACCCCCAGAACCCCGAAGTGGGGTGAGTCTGGAGAGAGGGGACCCCCGGGACCCCCGAGAGAGGCAATCCCAAAGCTGGGGGACCCCCAACACCCCCAACAGTGTGGACCCCCAGAACCCCGGAGCAGGGATCACCCCACAGCCAGGGGACCCCTGGCACCCCACAGCCCGCCCCCGAAACTCCAGGCACTCGGGGTGGGCAGGAGCATCACCTCCCACCTGGGTTTTGCCCCCCCCCCGGTAACAGGGAAGGGGGTCCACACTGCTCCGTTCATCCCCAGTCCTATGGGAGCCCTTTTTTTGGGGTGGTCTGTGCTCCCTGCCTCAGTTTCCCCACTATGCAATGGCCTGGTGGCGGGGGGGAGGACGGTTGTAGACCGTCTCCGCCCCTTGGGGTCCAACCAGATGGTCCATCACACTCCCATTTCTTTCCCACCCACAGCTGGGTGCTGTCTCGGGTGGTTTTTGGGCTGAGAGCAAGGGATTTTGGGGCTGAGCCGCAAGCGGGGACATCGCTGACCTTGTCCTTCTCCTTGTTCAGCCTGTGCTGCCCTCCTGGGTTGTGTCTTCTTCACGTTAAGACTTCACACTTGTCCTTCTTGAACTTCCTAAGGTTCTTGGTAGCCCACTCTTCCAGCCCACCCAGGTCTTCCTGCAGGATGGCTCTGTCCACGTCCCCACTTGGCGTCATCAGCAAACTTCATCGGGATACGTTTGATCCCATCACCCAGGTCACTTATGGAGACAGCGTTGGGCCCCGTATCGATCCCTGGGGGACCCCCAGTTGTGACAGTTCACCAGTTTGAGAAGGAGCCATCGACCACCACCCTCGGGGTGCGGCCGGTCAACCACTTGCCCCACCACAACCGCCCAGACCACGGGTCTGGACCGTAACGCACCAGTTTCTCTGGGAGGAGGCTATGGGGAACGATGTAGGAAGAAATCCAGGTAGACAATGTCCACCACTCGCCCCACCATCGACCCAGCCGGTTACTTTGTCATTGAAGGTGATGGGGGTTGTTGAGCATGATTTGCCCTTGGTGAAGCCGTGCTGGTTTTTCCCAATCCTGTGCTCCATCTGACTTGTGATCACCCCCAGGAGGACACATTCCATGACTCTTCCAGGGACTGAAATAATACCGATGGGCCCATAATTTCCTGGATCCTCCTTGAAGCTCTTCTTGTGGATGGGGGTGACACGGGTTGGAACGAGATGATCTTTAAGGCTTCCAACCTGAACCATTCTATGATTCTTCAGGTCTTCTGGGACCTCCCCGCCATCTCCACACCTTCTCAAAGATGACGGAGAGTGGCCTTGCAGCGACGTCAGCCAGCTCGCTGAACACCCGCGGGTGGAGAACGTCAGGGCCCATCAATTTGTAGGGGTTGAGCTCCTCTAATAATTCTCATTCCAACTTCTCCTTCGCTGCTGGTGGGTCCGGCTTTGCGTCAACCTGGATTGTTGTCCCCAGGACCTGGGACACAGCGGCGCCAGTGAAGATGGAGGTGAAGAAAGCATTGAGAACCTCTGCCACGTCAGCATTGTTGATGGCTAATTCACCTCTCCTCTTTGAGAGTCGGCCAATATTTTCCTTCTCTTTCTGCTTGAAGGACCCTTTCTTATGGTTTCTGACATCTCTGCCCAATTTCGACTCGAGCAGAGCTTTGGTTTGTCCACCTGCATCTCTGCCCGCCCTAGCAATGCCCTTGTAGGTCT